CCCCGCGCCCCCCCCCCCCCCCACTAGCCCTCCCATCCTGACTTACCTTAGATTGGGTGGCCATTTTTAACATGATCTAACCTCCTTCTTACCTCTGTGAATATCTGAACGTACTCATTGAGAACTACTATTTTAGATCATAATAGTAAAAAATATCTAAAATCTTTATAAACATATACTGCTAAAATAATTTAGAACACAACATATTCCATGAAAGGAAAGTGTGACTCATGCTAAGAGAATGCCAGTCTTTGTTGTATTTTAGTGGCTGGTCTACCATAGCCACAAAAGCACTTAGATGCCTACTGCAGGATTTAAGTGGAATTTAGATACCTAAATCTAAGTGAGCAATCTACAGGATCCCTGCCTAACCTCTCAAGTGTGTCAAAAGGCCACCAGTACCAAGTTTAGATGGAAAAGTTCCCTAGGCACGTAGAGTGCTGCTTTTGGCACAACCGAGCATGTATTTTCTACCTGAGATTATTTGGGATTCACAAACTGGGCAGCTGTGCATCGAAGGTTGTTTAGGAGCCCAATCCAGTAGGTGTGCTTTGAATAGCCCCAATAAAACATTGAATCAATGACAAAACAAAGCAACGGCAGTAATTTCTATTTACAAACATAGCTGGAAGAGAAGAAGATTCCTAATCTTAGAGAATTCATGACTGCTCAGTGTAAAATGTATCAGTAGTGGGAGCAGGGAACAAAACAAAGTATCCCCCAAAACAGGAACTTGCTTGTAGCCTTTAATCATTGGGCTACAAAATCAAGCTCTCTCTTTCTGGCCCCAGAATCTTGCATTATTTTACACACTGGCACCACTTCATCAGGAAGACTGGAGAGTGACTCCTTTATAGACTTGCCATCAGCCTGGTGGGGTGGTACTCTTTTAAGAGGTGGGAAATATGAATTTAAACCTCTTCAGCCTGAAAACAACCTAGAAACCCTAGTGTCTAGACTCCTGGGCAAGTTCTCTAACCTCAAGGCAGTCATTTCTGCTTAAAGAAATGTTTTGGGTACCAAAGTCTAGGCACTTTTCAAACAGTTCCTTATCATCTTTTTTCCTTCTCCAGTTTGTCAATCAGTAGCTTTTTGGTAGTGAGTGAGATGTCCAGAACTGAATGCAACACTATAATCATTTCAGGTATAAACAGAAATGATCAGTTTCTCTGCTAGGTACCTCTGCTACGTAATGCAATATGTTCTGAAGGCATTCCAAATGTAAACTGTTTTTTGCTACCATATAGCATTGAAAACTCATGTATAATTTACTTGAGTAAATAATTTACTTGCCTCTGTAACTGGTCACTTTCAAAATTATTGCTTCAATGTTATTGCTGCTCACCTTGACAATTTCATTCTCTCTGGGCACATCTACACAAAAGTGCAGTAGAACAAAATTACTGTGAAGTAAGCATCACCGTCTACATGTTCAGATGCTTACCGTGTAGTAATCTGCTCTTTTCTGGAGTATTTACTGCACAGTAAGGCAGGTGTAGACCGCCAACAGAGGGCAGGAGATTGCTCCCTGCCTCCGGGAGCTGCTTGCTCCTGGGGTGGGCTCTGGTGGTGGAACCTGGGCCAGGATAATGTCTGTCCTGGCAGCAGGGAGCTCCTGGCCCTGGTTCTACGATCCTGGACATGGGGCTGGGAGCTCCAAGCACAGGGAGCATTCCCTGGCCAGCCTGGAGCTGACTGGGATCTGCCCCAGACAGGGACAGTTCAAGGCTAGCCCTGAGCTGGCTGAGAACTACCCAAAATGCAACAGGGACTTTTGTACATGCCACATTTTTTGCCCTTTCTTGCACTGCAAGACTGTTTGCACGATCGGGTTTTCCAGATGGTTTAAAAGTATCTCTGGTGCATTAAACTAAAACTCCTCAGACATAGTTTAGTTTGACTTCCTGGGAGTAAAAGCATTGCATCCATGGATTCGTTGAGTGCAAACACAAAGGGACTCAAAGATGTGTGATGAGCTTCTTTGTCCACCAGATGGAATTGCGACTTTTTTATAGTTCACCCCTTTCAGTTGCTTTCACTTTCAAATTGCTCCCACATTTGTTTTTTCTTGTGTGGTTTGCTGGCTCCCTGCTTCCACAGCTGCATGGCAGGGCATGGGCACACAGTGGATGAGGGGCCCCGGGCCGTGAGGCAGTGCTGAACTGTCCCACTTCCCTGCAGTGCCGGCCAGGTACCCAGCTTAAATAGTTTGAAAACCTAGTGTGTGTAAATATAGATGTGACACTCCAAAATAAAAGTTTAAATTTTACAAACCTGTTTCATTTAATGATGATTAAAACCCATGGTGTGTACATGTGTCCACAGTTTCCAGGCAGCTCCAGGCTGCACGTGCAGACCGGGACAGTTCCTGGCCAGCCCTGGGCTGTGCAGGGAGGTCTGCACGTGCAGTCTGGAGCTGGCTGGGAACTGTCCCATTTTGGGCAGTATCCAGCGAACTCCAGGCTGCACGTATAGATTTCCCCAGCCCTGCAGCTGTTTCCCAGCTCAGTGCCCCAATTTGGCAATCGAGGCATGGGGCTTGGAAAGACCTGTGGGGGAGGGGCAGGTCCCATCCCCTGCCCCTATCCACTGGTGGGGCAGCTAAACAGTGAGCTGCTGCAGGGGAAGGGCAGGTCCCATCCCCCAGCCCCAATTCACTGGTGGGGCAGCTAAACAGCGAGCTACCGGCTGGGTGGGCAATACCTGCCCAGTCAGTGGCTCACTGCTAGCTGTAGCTCTTTACAAGTCCCCTGCCCCCAATCAGGGAACTGGGGCCAGGAATTCCCCACTGCTGGAGCAAGAGGACATTGCCCTAGCCCAGGCATCACCATTGAAATGCATCATGGCAGCAGGCAGCTCCCAGGGGCAGGGAGCAATCTCCCAGCCCAGCTGTCTCCTGGTCTGATGCTCCCTGCCAGCCCTTGGGCTAGTATCCAGGGGGACCCTGGAGCTCCCCCTGGCCGCTGTGGGGAGCAGAGCAGGGTGGTAGCAGCCCAGAGAGCCCATTTGGAGTAAATCTGCTCTCAAATGCCTGCACGTGTAGCTGCCTGCCCAGGGTGGATTTACTCTGCAGTAAAACCATCTAGGATCATGTGTACATGTAGATGTACCTCCTGTAATTATATTAACTTGAATTGTTCATTTTGTTGACAAATTATTTTGTCATTTTTTATGATTATGTTACTAACTTCTTTGGAGACATTTGTGTTATATCTTTACGGATGCCTGCTAAGTCTTCATTAATGAAGATGTGGAATAAAGCTTGACATAATATTGATTCTCTCAGTGACTTGCTAGAAACCTCCATCCAGTTTGATTCATTGTCATTTAACATTTCCCTTTGCTTACCCATCAGCAAATTATGACATATCATCATTTTTCTTCTTTTCTAGTTAGCCAGATAACTCATATATCACCATAGACCCGGGTGATGGCAGTAGGGGTTAGCGGAGGCATGAACTGGATTGCCAGACTGAGCTATCTCAGACTATTTATTCCTTCCATTAAAAGATGTAACATAAATGCTTTATCTGATGACTTCCTCTTTGCTACTTGGCTGACAATACAATACTTTTAAGATCTAGCAGTGGCCACCTTCTTGTTATCTATAGCAAAATATTCTACCTATGTTAAAGCTTAACAGAAACTTCTTCTTAAAGTGCTAACTGGTTTGTTTTTACCACAGATCCAGAAAAATGTATGATAGCTATGCAATTCTAAGACATGGTTTTGTTAGACTTTTACAATTAACTTTATAAATCTCTATAAAAAATATGGCACACTTTCGCTTTTTCTTTAGGCTTTGATGTCAACTGGCTCCAAAAAATGCCAGTGTTTATTGTCTCTAATTGGTTCTAGCAAACTAGGACACTAATTGCCTCTGGCCAGCCAATAGTTTTATATTTTAAAAATCAATTATTATTTTATTTTGTACTAAGATTTGTTTTTTCCATCCTGAAATATCTAGGTTGGCTTCAATATTAGGTTTGTTGGTCCTTGGGGAGGCCGCCAAATTAAACTTGTCCTGCTTGAAGGTTTTAATGGACCTAGTGAGAGATTTTATTTCAAGCTCTATGTCTCTTCAGAAGCAGGTAACAGCACTGTTAATTTAGATGTAAGAGGAAAATGTGTTTGTTTCAAACATTAAATTGGATAGAAGTAAGGCATTTATTTTCTTTACTCCTGAAAACTGAAGGTCATGTTCACCTTACAATTCTGAGATGTGGGATAGAGCAAGCAGACCAGTTTTTCAATAAACTAAACACCTGGGAATGCAATTCTCTTGTAGTTTAAACACCCCGAGTGATTGCTGAATGACTATTTCTTCTACTAAGTTACCCACTCACTTCTGAACAGTTAACATGGCCAAATGTGAAATTAGATTAAAGTATATTAATCTGCTACTACTGTAAAATACTCAATTCTTCCATTAGAATCTGTATTTGTTTCTAGATATTTAATTGAAGCTTTATATTCCTACCAACAGGAAGAGAGGTCCATAACTTATCTACCATCCTGGCCCTGGGAAATATGCTACATGTACATCTGTGTGCTCCGAGACATTTGTTTAAGTGCTAATACATCAGATTTACAAAAAACTGCTTTTCTTGGATTCTGTGATTGCAAAAAAACATCAGAACATCCAGATGAATTAAGAGGGGCAAGTTTTTTTGACCTTTTGCAATATAACCTTTCACAAACTCCAGCAGATGGTAAGTACCTAATAAGAAAAAAACCCTGACATTTTAATACACATAGTAATGATACATAAGCACATGAAAAAGGCCAGTTTCAGAAAACTCAGTTTCTTGCTCACTTCCTTTCCATGAAAATTTGGAGATAATTTGTTTCAAAGCTTCAGAAAGTTTTGTCTGTTTTCTGTTCAGTTTATTTTCCCTGAAGTCACCAAATTGTATCATTTGGTTTTTAAATACAGATCATATAGCTCAGGTTGCACTTTTAGATTTCATTCTGACTGAGATTACTTAAATCAAATCACAATTTGAATCATTATTTTTCTTCCAGATTGTATTATATAAAGCATTTTCCCAATACATGTAAACGATGGAAATAATGAATTTAGTTATTTTTTTGGAACAGTGAAGGTTATAATATTGCTGACAATTTGAAGTTATGTTATTTGTGTGCTTTTAATTGCCATGAGCATTGGTTGTCAGAAGTGGCACTATTTTTTGACACATTTATTATGATTCTGGTTAACTTTTTAGAAAATATCTAATCAATATGTCACTTTTATAAATTACAAAAATATTTGAATTAATCAGGCATTTTAAGAATGAAATTTAGTTGGCAGTACTTTTAACATATAACTTCAGTTTAGCAATCAAAGTAAGTACTCCATGCTGGCAGCAACTTTGATATTAGTTATAGTGCTGACTGATTTACATTTCTCTAGAAACATTTACCTTATTCTAAAAATAGGATGTTAGTGACTTTCAAAGACAGGTTGGTTTGCATTACAGCAACATTTTTGTTTCATTTGTTACTTGCTGCTTAAAGAAACTTCAGTTACTCCGTTTATTCCAGAACCAACCTTGTGCACAAAAGGTCATATCCAATATGTAAGTAATCCAATTAAAAAATAATCAGGCCCAAATTGCATCATGCCACTTTAGTGCATCTACTGCACATATTCCATTTTAAACCCGTGGGCTAGTGACAGACATTCAAAAAGCCTGAGCCTGAATTGGTTCAATCTTTGCAGGTTAGTCTAGGCTAAATCAGTTTTGATGGACAGACATCCCAGAAATGTAGGCATGTGCCTGTAGTGGCTCAGGCTAGAAGCCGGGGGGCATTAGAACAGGCCTCCCTTCCTTCCATAGCATGGAGCTGAGGGAGTGTGGCCAGGCTCAGGCAGGATGCTGTGATAAACCCAGCAGAGAATTAATAACAGTGTTTATCATCCAATTAAGAAAACAACAGAGGGACATTACCAGCTACTTGTTGATTCTGCCTGTTGATTCTACCTGTTGATTCAGCACAGACTGTAGCCCACATGTGGTCTGCTAGTTAATACACAGACACCTCCTCAGCAAGGCAGAGAGGAGCAGGGAATTCCTGCTTAGCAGGGAGTGGTGGTGATGGTGGTGGGAAACTGCAGCCAGGGAGCAGAGGGGAGGGGCCAGCCCTGCTGTGGAGCAGACAGCCCCACCCAGCTCAGAGAGCAAGCCTGGATGCTGGGGGAGTCTGGTTTATCTTAAACCAGCAAGGGGTCTGGGACAAACATTGCATAAACCAGTTTGAGTCAAATCAGTTAAGTCTGATACTACATTCAACCAGGTTTATCTCAAACCAGTTTCAGCCATTCTCAAACTGGTTTATGTGCACTGAACTTCTGTTCTGTTACAGGTTTAAACCAGTTTCTGATCACTTAAACCGGTTTATGTGTAATGTCTATCCCTAGCCCAAAAAGATAACTCCATAAAACAAAAATAACCTCCCTCCCAAACCACATTGTATTATAAAGTTCCTATATTACAGTATAGTTACCTTGATATTAAGGTATGAATACCCTGGGCTTTTATTTTAGAAGATGCTGTTACAATTAATATATATAACCAGAAGGTTAACTACATAACTGATTTACTTATTATATAACCTTACAGGGTTCTCCTTAATCATAATGTTAGAATACAGGTATATTAACTACAGCATATTTACACTTATTATTCTCAGTCATGCAATGTTTTATCTAGTTACATGTATAAGTGGTAATTTATAACTATCAAAGAGAAAAAGTATAATTGCACTGTAATGGTAGTGTAAATAACACTAGGATTATAAACTGTGTCAGATGAATAATGAATTATAAGAGAAAAATTGGAAACAGAAGACTCCTACTTAGGTCTAAACTTTCAAAATTATTCATTTTAGGCAGGGTTTAATTTTGCCAATTCTTTAGCTCCCTTTGATTTGTTTTACAGTGAAGTATGCCCTCGTGCCAAAGGAATAACATAGATTAACGTTCTCTACAAACTCTTTCTTTTTCTAAAAAGCATTTTATATCATCTCAACATTTAACAAACTCAGACCCACAGGGCTTATGTATATGCAGAAAAGTGTATACATAGCACTGGGTGTGTGCAAGCAACCCAATGAACTGGTAGAAGTTGTAATGGGACCCCTAACCCATGACAAGAGAGTGAAGGTGTCTAGGAGTGACTGGCCCTCTCTTCCCCCTTTTTTGTCTTTTTATTTCTGTTTTTTCTACGCCCCCCCCCACCCCTTTATTCAAACTTTCTTTGTTTTGCCTGAACCAAATTCACAGGCAGAGAAACCTGAGACAAAAAGGCTACTGAGCCCAAGTACAGGCAGTGCCTGATGGACATGGGGCAGAAGTGGAGGGATAGGTGTCTCAGAAAGTGCATTATAAGCCCAAACCTCAAATCAGAGTAGCGGTCTGGTGGTAGGAACTACAGGGGATGGAGATCCTGATAGAAGAGCGCAGGGACAGAACCCAGGGCTATGAAGTAAGGAATCAGAGCAGCATCCAGGGTGAAGGAAACCTGAGAGTCTGTATTGGGAACAAGATAAGTGCCTTGGGCCTTTTTTGTTTTTGTTTGGAAAGCATTTCACAGGGTGAGGTGAACCCCAGGTGGAATACGAAATGAGGAGTGCTAGCAGGAAAAGAACCATAAAGGTGGAGGCACCTGTAGGCCTACTACAGAAGTATACCAGTTTAGTTAAAGCAATTGAAAACCCTGATAGACCTGTATACAAGAGTTCATGTGGCCAGGTGCATGCTCTGCAGACACCCTGCACTGTAGAGGGCACCCAGCCAGGGGGCCCCAGAGCACACACCCCAACATGCTTTTCAGGCTCGCCAGTCTGCCTGGAAACTGGTGACAGTAGTGTAGGGCAGAGGTTCCCAACAACTGGGCTGTGGCCTGGTATTGGGCTGCAAAGGTTTGGCTGCTGGGTTGTGGCACGAGCCCCCCACTCAGACCCCTGCCTGTCTGCCCAGGCGAGCAGCTTCCACCACCAGCAGTCACGTGTGGGGTTAAAGCTGGGTGGCGGGGCAGCCAGCTCCATGAGCCCCACCCCACTCCCGTGCTGGTCTGCACTACAAAAAAGGTTGGGAACCACTGATGTATGGCATAGGGCTACTTGGCTGGAGGCCACAAGAACCATGGCCCTCTTGTAACAAGACCCCACTCCCTCCCTCTCAGCTGTCAGTATATTAGACAGCAGGCCCAAAGTAGGTCTTCTGTCTCTAAATCCTGTCATTTTCCCTGTCAAAAGCCCACAATGGACCCTACCTCTCTGGCGCAACCTGAGGGTCTGACTGCTCCAGGGGGGCTTGGCCTATGATGCTGCTGGGGCCCTGGTTTTAGGAGACCCTGCCACCATGGCCAGTGCTCAGGGCTCTCAAACCTTGCATTGGGGAGCATCTCCCCTGAATAGCACTTCTGTGCCTGACACTGGCATGCCTGCATATGGGGCTGCAGGCAAAGGGCTCTGAAGGCCCACATGGGGGTGATGCTCCCCTCCATGGCACTTCAGTCCAGTTCCCACAGCCCCACACATGGGGTTGTTGGCATGGGGCTCTGAAGTGCCATGGGAAGAGGGGTAGATTTGCCCCCCAAATCACTTCAGAGCCTTGTACCTGTGGCTTCAGGCACAGGGCTGCAGGTGCTGGTGTTGATGTGCCCCATGGGATGCTAGTGGGTCCAAAGGGGTGCTCACGGGTGGCTTTTCTCCACCTGCTAAGGGGGTTAACAGCTGCACAGCCCCTGGTCTGTGGAGATGGGCTGGGCTTTTTCAGCCCTGGGACTGACAGGATGGGTTTAGTCTATGATAAAACCAGAGCAGTGGAGTCTGAGTCGGACCATCCCTCTCTGGAGGCGGGGGAAGGGAGCAATGCACACTGGGACATCGAGAGGACAGCAGAGGAGCTTCTATTGATTGGAAAACAAACAAGCTTTCATTAACCTATTTAACCCCTATTGACTAAACTTAAACCTCAGGGGAGGTTTAATATTCATAGACTCATAGAAAATTAGGGTTGGAAGAGGCCTCAGCGGGTCATCTAGTCCAACCCCCTGCTCAAAGCAGGACCATCCTTAACTGTATCATCCCAGCTAAGGCTTTGTTTACCCAGGCCTTCAGAACCTTTGAGGATGGAGATCCCTGCGACAGGACAAGCCCCGTGGAAGCCACGGCACCTCCCTTTGGGCCACCCTAATCCTGCCTGGGGTCCAATCCTCTGTATAGCCTCCCCTACTTAGCTTTCTTGCCATGCCTTGATGTTCTTTTGATGTTGAATGAGAGGTTGCCCTTGAGTGCTCTCACCAATGTCTAAATGACCTCTCATGGTCTCTGGGCCCCCTGCTCACTAGCCAAAATGACAGTTCTCCATGGGTACCTATTACATCCCAGCAGATCTACTGGTGCTTTGCTGGTACTGTGAGCCAGTAGTTACCATCCGTGGCCTGATCGGCTCTTATTTAAGCCTTAGGGCTTTTAATTGTGGCCTCTTGGCTCTATAGCCACACCCATGCCTCACAGGTGTCACTTTTGCCATGTACCTTCCTGTATAGGCTTTGGCCTTTTTACTTTTAGCCTGCGGGTTACTCTGGCTGTAGACTGGCAGCTTAGGCTTACTGGTTCTGGCCTGACTTTTCAGTCTCAGTCTTTCATTGGCCTCTGGCTGCATGCATTGCCCCCTCTGGGCTCAGGCTCGGCCCTCTTG